CTTCTTCATTCTCACTCAAGAGGAATGCATCAACAAAACAGCCCTTCCATATAGATCGTCGTGGCATGAACTTTGTCAATAGATTCCTAGCTTCCTATTGATATTGATCAAAAATCTTTTTCAAGTTTAGTTCTTTTGACAGCGAACCAACAGGTAGCGCACTTGACACTTGACTGTATCCCAAATATGTTTTTGAAGTGATTTTTTGAACAGTTCGGTAAGTGTACTTAAAGTCCTAGCTTTTGCATGTGTGAACTCTTCTCCTGCCTTGCTTTTTCATACGCTTCTTGCTGGAGAAGTCCCTATGGAGTAAAGGGAAGTGCATGAATGCTGTATGACCGAACTCGAACTCGCGGAAGTCGATCATATAGAATACGAAAATTTGCTTTTTACTCATTATGTAAGACTTTTTCAAATTGAATAAAAAAACGAAAGAAAGCATACGCCTGTTCAATAGCTCTTTCCAATATCAAGCTGAACTCCTTCCGTATAGTAAAGTAAACTTTACACCCACCCAAACGGTCTTCTATTTTATATATGAGGAAAGCGCCTTTTTTTGAGTAGAAATGGAGGAGAGCAGGAAAGAGAAAAGGGTAAGTCAAAGAGAGCCAACCTACCCAAGACCTACTGCTGGCCCTTCATTTCTTCGTAAGTGCGAGCCGCAGATCGGGAAAGGAAGCATTCAATGATGCCGGAGACTTTGGGCTTGGCTTGGAATGCGGAATGAATGGTTGGTTTGTTTGATTGAATGTGGAATTTCATTTATGTGGTGTGAATGCAGGGAAGACTGAAGGCAGGGGAACGGTGTAGAGAAAGGAATTTTTTACGTCCATCTGCCATAGACGCCAGGACTTACTTTTTGCTAGAGAGATGAGCACTCGCACAATAGTCATCTTTGCCACGGGACTAAACGTCTTGTCGTAGTCAATCCCATATTGCTATGAGAAAGCACGAGCAACCGCACCAAAATAAATACTCTGAAATGTGAAAGAGTCGGCTCTCTCTTGTACAATACCTGGTATGGCAAGAGAAAACCAAGCTTCGCTTGAGGCAATCTGTTGATGACACGGGCTTCAGTCATCATCCATTCGGCCCGGCTGCACATTCTTCGCATTCATCATGCGAGATGTCGATTCTTCCTCTCCGCGACTCCCTTCTGCTGTGTAGTATAAGAGTAGGCAAACTGTCTGCGAATCTCGTGCTTTTCAAGTAAGCACCAACTTCTGGGATGTGTATTCCCCTCCAGAGTCTGTCCTCAAACATAGTTTTCTTTGCCTTTACTTTCTAAATCAAATTCTCCACTAAGCTTCTGAACTCCATGAACTTTTGAAAGACTTCGGACTTCTCTTCTAAGAAATATACCCCGCCCCGCGAGTAATCATCAATAAATGACTGCATATGCATATAAGGCTTACCTAAGCATGATGGAGTGGAGACTCTGCCAAAGACGTCTGCTTGAATGAGCTGGTCAACTTCTCCCCAGTTCTGTACATGCGCAAAGAATGTCTGAGTCCCTCTTCCTTTCCTGAACCTGTGAGAACACTCTAAGAATATGCCAGCAAAGATCTCATTCAATACTTGAGAAACTGCATCCATGACAATAATTTTTATGTGGTTGAGTAATAAATAATAATTAGGGCCTAGCTTTCCAGGTTTTTTGGGTTTTGGAATAAACGATCTATCTATACATGAAAAGGATAAAACCTAAAGAAAGAATCCCTTAATGCCTTATCAATGGAAAGGTCTTCGAAACTATGAATCTTTCATCTCTTCCCCTCCCGCGATAAGGACGTGTCTAAGGATGCTACTTCGGGCGGGCGTGCTTCTTTCTATGGGGGCGCACATTACTTTGGACGTGCTTTACTGGCAGATGCATGAGTCGGAACATAATAGCTAGGCACGTCGTGGGAGGAGAATAAGCAAAATCTTTTGCATAATCCAAATAAAAGTCAACATCTCGCTGATCAAAATCATCATCACGAGCAAACTTCTAGTCGATCTACCGGATCAACTTCTGCCTACCCCGCCCGGTCAAAGATCGTCGGGAGTGTTTTTTCTTCAACGGGAGGCCAGCCTATTATTCCACCCACCTCTATCCATAAGTAGTGAGAGCGAACTTGGTTCTCCGGCGCCTGGCTATTTCCCCCGTCCAGTCCCCCCGGTTGGGCCAAGCTAATGAGATCCGGGCTCAGCCCATTTGTAGTAAACGCAGCTTAAACACTATCACTATTCCAAAACATTGATGAAAGAAAACCCATAATAGTTATTCCCACCCTCCCAGGGGGGTACTTGATTGATCAGGAGAAATGTCTACTTTTTCCCCCTTATAATATGGGGGTCGTTAGCGCTGCCAGTGCATTTGTTCCTCTGCTTGTCCGCTACCCTTAATTTAATAATGCCTTCCGTCAGTATGAGTGAACGTGTTTCCCAGCTCCCGGTCTTTCTAAACAACAACGGTTCTAATAAATTCAGCCTTGTCATGGCTGGTTTGGGTTAGAATTCATAAAGGTGGGTAGAGATGGCCGCAGTAGATTCTTCCGACCGAGTCCCAGTGGCAGAGTCTTGAGGCACGAATCCAACGGCAAGGGAATCAGCGGCTGATCGCGATTCATCAGTCGCAATTCTCCCAGCCCAGCAGCTATCCATTTGAATTCGCCAGTCAATGACTGAGCTGTGATTGCATAGGTAATATTTCAAGCTGGAGCGGAGGCAGCAGAGACGAAGGTGAGAGCAGGGGGGTAGGAGTAGGGTACCCTAGTTATAGTTCGCCCGAAGCATCGCTAGAGGCATAGGCAGTCAGAAATCAAAATCGTGGTCGATCTTTCTCAAGCTATCAAATCAGCAAGGGTTCTAGAATAGTCAAGGCTACTCGATAAAGGATGGTTGGCATTCATCAGTACGTGGATCCGTCGTAGGGATTGGTTCAGCCACTCGACGACCGGCACTTGCCATTGAAAAACCAATTGTAGTGCTTTATGCAGCGAGGTACCGCGATCGAACGTCATCGGAATGCCCCAATATGAGAAAGCCATTTCGGGTGCGGTAGATCAACAACCCGAATTACACACGAAATTTGTGGAATTGCAAAAGACAAGTGAACTCGGCAAAACGGAATGCTTTGTGAAAGGCCAGACAGGTTGTATTGGGGTGGATTAGCTTCCGGAGAAAGAGCAAGGAGCTTACTTACCTAAAAGCTAAAAGGGTAGGGTTGGGAAGGAAAGCGATACAGCTTGAGCTTGAGCGTGGAGCTTATCTTCTTGACAGGCCTACTTTTCTTTGTTCAACTGGACTGGTTCGCTTGACGGGTCCTGGTCACTGCTAGTTAGCTCCACGAGACTTGGATAATCATTTTCAAAAGGTCTTTCTCCGATTTATTGTTCCTCCTCCTTGGTGCTCTTTCCAAACGCCCCTTTAACGGCTTCGTTTGACTTACTTAGATAGATAGAAAGCGGCAGGCGAACCCCGACTTGTTAACAAAAAGCTTTCTCCGACTTCCAAGTTGGATCAACTGGTTCACTGGGCTTGGCTGGTGTACTAGATAGGGACAGGACCTTTTAAAGAGCCTTCATCCGGTGTGAGGCTTGTGCTTCTTTCTATGTCTATGGAGAGCATGAAAGGCCCTAACAGGTCAGTCAAGTTTCGCAGAAAATTGTAGCGAAGGCGAAATAGACCAGCCTATCTACTTAAGAGGGAACGAAGGCCCCAGGACCATGGGAGACTACCAGTTCTTGCTCCGGATGCTGCTACCGAAAGATGGTAAGGACAGGATGAAAGGCCGGGTTCCCCTAGGTGCCAGTTAGACATGAACTGAGACAGGGGAAGTCCATAAGAAGGACTGAATCCAAAGCATTGCCCCGTCGGGGTGATTCACCCTGAAAGACCAGTTCTTCCCTCTACGACAACAGAAGAATTGTCAACAAAAGAAGAAGCAGATAAGAGAGCAAGATTCGTTCAAAGAAAAAGTTATCATCCGTCTGGGGTTATGGCTTTGAAGAGGCCTTAGTCGGGCAACTTTCCAGAGGGATTAGGCGAGAAGTTAGTAGGTAGTAGTGGTAAAGATTCTTTACTCGCAAGTGAAAAGGCCGACATCTCACTCTAATGTCCTAGGATGTACCAGAGAGGGTGAACCAAGCCAAGCCCCTTTACGTTTGTTATCCCCTCCGTCAATAGATCAGTAGAGATCAGCGAGTGGAGACGAAAGGGGCCAGGACTGAAAGTACCAAGTCGGAAAGACAAGTGTTGTGGCTTTCAAGCTTGTCTCATCTCCCTGTTGCCTTAATCTAAGCCTGGAGACCTGGGTGGGGTGCTTGCCTGTGACTGGAGTCTTTCTATATGCTTTCCTTCAGCCCTTAGTGGAATCCTGGATCTAGGTCGGATTCTTTGGGCCACTTTTTTGACTTCGTCAGTCTCCCTTAGTGGCAGGTTTGTTTGCCTCCCTTGCTCGGACCGGGCTTTAGTCTTTGGTTGTCATCCTGGAACCAATGGTTAGAAGGGCCAACTATGTATCAAAATTGAAGCGGAGATTGCGTATGCATGGATGAATGTCGAACATCTCGCTCGGATGAATCCCCTGCCAATATCTTGGTCTTTTGGAGAGAAGATATCCTTGACCTGTCCATGATTGAAGCCAATGCCCAATTCATTTCTACCAATGCAAAGATCAAATCTTTTTATACAAATACTAAAGTAAAGGTGCTCTCCTTACGTACGCCTCCTTTTTGTTCACGCAAGCTGTCTAAGGTAGTGTATCGAGGGGCTCTAAGCGATCAAGGAGACACGTCTTTCTTTATGGCATAACCCGGAAAGACTTTTCTTAGTCTTTTTCCTATTACTATCACACCCTTTACGCTACCGCACAACTAACCGTTGCTTGGTTAGTCGGATCCGGAGAACTCTTTGCCCCATCACCTACTAAAGGATCTGCTATCGGATTGCTGCACTTCTCAGGACCCTCTGCGTCAGAGCGACCCCACCGGGGTAATCCAGCCACCCTACGTTCAAGTTCGATCCATTAGGTTCTTCGATTTGTTCAGAAAAGAAACGAGAGACAAGAAAACATCTTTGATTACGATTAAAAGGAACAATCTGAAATAGACCAAGATCCAATTTCGAGTCATTTCTTGGTGAACATGATCTGCCATAATCTCTTCGATCCCTTCATTTATGTGCCGGAATAGAGAGAGATTTGGTAGGAAAGTGGAAGACACTTTTTTGTATATGATAATCAAAGGGAGTGGGAAAGCTGCAGTAATTCTTTGGAAAAGCCCGGTTCTCTTTGTCTTCGAGCTTTCATTCCTCAATCCACTGATTCGTTCCTTCATATACCTCCCCACCAATAGATAGAGACAAATGGGAATAACCGAACCACGTCTACAAAATGCCAGTACCATGCAGCTGCTTCAAAGCCAACGTGATGCTCCTTGGTCAGATGACCAAGATATTGGCCAATACCACATATGATCGAGAAAAGAGTACCTATAATCACATGAAAACCATGAAAGCCAGTTGCTAAGAAAAAGGTAGAACTATAAATACTATCCGAAATAGTGGAGGGTGCTTGATAATATTCCATTCCTTGAAAGCCAGTGAATACTAGGGCCAGTAAAACGGTAGCTACTAAAGCGTAAACTGCTCGTTTTTCCTTCCCCGCGAGTATAGCATGATGAGCCCAAGTTATGGCAGCTCCGGATGAAAGGGGAATAAGGGTATTAAGAAAAGGGATTTCCCAAGGATCTAAAACCCCAATACCTTTTGGGGGCCAAATATCTTCGATCTCTATCGTAGGTGCCAAAGAAGAATGAGAAGAAGCCCGAAAAAAAAGCAAAAAAGAACATAACCTCCGATACAATAAAAAGAATAAAACCATATCGAGGTCCTAATTCTACGACTTTGGTATGATGTCCTTCCAACGTGGATTCACGTAGAACATCGTGCCACCATACGAACATGGTATATAGGATAAATATGAGGCCCAAACTGAGAAGTGTTGCACCCCCTTGAAATGAGTGCATGCACATCACACCTCCTACGGTTGTTGCCAAAGCTCCGAGTGAGCCCGAAATAGGCCATGGACTTGGATCTACCAAATGATAAGAATGCCTCTGAGATTCAATCATAAACCACTTTGCCTCGGTTGTATGTAAACCCCCCCTTCACCCCCACCCCCTAAACTAGTAAAGAAGGGCTCTTTGGGGTCTAATTTTCTTTCTATCTGACAGGACAAACAAATAGGAAGGGATGGTTCTTTCATTGCATTGATAGAAGAAGAACTAGAAAAAGATCTATCTATTACTTTGAGAAGAGAATCGTTGGTTTGACTGACGAACTACGTGGGAAAATGGACCTTCTTTCTTTGATTTTCAGCAAGATTTTTGGAAAGTAACAATTCCATTCAGTTCGCTTTCGGGAAACTTGCTGGTCGCGGATTAGTTCATTCTACGCCGACAGCGGCCTAAAATCAAAGGTGCAGGTTGATCTCTCTGGTCTCGCTCCCTTCCCGCACTATTCCTCCCCACTAAAAAGAGCGATTGAGAATCTCGAGAACCTTTCTGAACGTCTGTCTTCGCGGGGCGATTGGAAAAGGAGTCTCTTTTTCTTGTAGTGCCTTCCATTCCACTATTCTGATCGAGAAAAATGCTCTTCCGAACGACCGAGATTAAAAACCGATGCTTCCTTGGCCGTGTAGAACATGCATTAGCATTATGTCATTCCTACAAGTGATCCCCCATCCAGGATTGGAAGAAGTGCTATATGAGGACTTCGTAATCAAATAGAATATATTTCTTTCCATTCCTCGTGAGCCACTTATTTCTCCGAAACAAGAGATCAAAGTGATCTTCTTCCTTTTTCCCAATAAGTCGACGGCGTTACACCATTGGGATACTTCGAATAAACTGGAGTACATATAGGATACACCGGTGCTAAAACCTTTTCTCAAGATATCTTCCAAACTGTTGGGGTCGTTGCTCCGGATGTTGTTCTCCCGGTGTGAAACCAGTTGGTTCCGTAGTTTTAGAATTCTGCTGATCCCAAGTACTCCATCTCCATCATTGCATATGGCAATATAGAAAGTAAAGAGTAAAAGGCATGACCAGAAGAATTGTGTGAAATAAGTGAATTTATCTAGTTGAGGCATTCTTGTTTAAGAAGAAATTATTCCCTCCAGACAGCTTAACTCCGTCAAGCTTGTACGAGTAGTGAAGAAGTATAGAGAACTTTTGTTGGTTCTTTTCCAACGGAAAGCAGTGTAGAAAGCAAAATTCAATCACTAACGTATAAAGCACTTTCTTTGTTGAATGTATCTAGTTCCATCTTTCTTTGATTTTTTTCTTTGCTTTGCCTTTGAATAAGGATTTTGCCTTTAGTCTTGCCCAGGCGGGATACCTGGTAAGCGAGAGCTCTTTCAACTCCTTCGATCAGGTTCCGTACTCCAAATAAGCACTCTTATCTTTAGTGGCCGTTTACCGCTCCGCATCCTTATTTTCGGCTTGACTTTGTTTGTGTATCTGCTTTTGGGTGTACGTATCCCACGCTAGGCTTTCTATGGGATATGATCAGAACTAGAATCACAAGGAAAGAAATCGGCTAATCGAGAGCTCTATTCCGATCCAACTTCCAATTGGTTATATAAGGCCGATTACTCTGACTTTCTCTTTCTATACGCTATTTCCTCTTTGTATTAAAGGAAATCTAGATCTTGCTTGTTCTTCGATAAGTAGCTAATAGAAAAACGAAGATGTCATACGCGTAAGAGTAAGCTAACAACTAGATTCTAGAGTTCTAGTTCCCATCCCGAGAAATGGAAAAGAAAGGGCTTAAAAGCGCCTTAGGCTTCAAACTCAACCTAATAATCAACTTCCAAAGGATGGAATGATTGTAGGATCAAGAAGGCTTCTTTATATAAAGAAAGGCAGCAGCAAGAACTATATCTATCAAAGAAGAAGAGTCAAGAAGGAATGGAATGGAAAGTTTGGATGGAATGTGCCTATGAACTATTCCTCTTTCAAGCTCATTACGCTCATTCCCGAGGAGCACTTCACTTCACTCGCTTAAGCCGAATTTACCCAGTTCCCTCTCGGCTGACACGCTACTCGGGATCAGCTCGAACAGCGGTAAGCTACTGCATTCCTCCTATATGGCATCCTTCTTTCCTTAAGGTCATTTCCTTATTTTGGTCTACTACCTCTAATGCTTTTCACTTCAGCTTCAGAACGATTAGCCCTACGTTGCTGGATGTCGCCGCTATCACTGGGCTCCCTCCGAATGCTTAGACTGTGCATCCTTTTGCGTCCGTCCCAGAGTTTTCCGACCCTTGGCCTACCCGGACGCTACGGGGAGTCCTTATACGATTATGCTGCCTTTCTTTCAGCAACAGCCCGGAATTCAGGGCCTCTGAACATGGAAGAATATATCTCCTTTCTTACTGGCTATGCCCTCATTTATTATGAAAATGTCTTCCACAAGTCCAAGTCTCACCTTTTTTCTGGGGCTTTTACTCCCTTTCGGTCGAGGTAGACCTTCGAAACCCTCTGACCAGTAGGGTGGTGGTGGAAGGGATAACCTTGAATCTTGAATATGAGAACTTTCCCACCACTACACCTGCTGCTGTGAATGCCATCACACCTCAAGAAGTCCCACTCTAACCATAGACACCAACCAACCCAACTAAGCCATCCAGAAGAAAACCAAGAGAGTTCTCTAACCTCCGTGCTTAGTTCCCAGTGCTTTGCTGTAGTAAGCTAGAGGCTTGCTTGCTGCATCAGAGCCGCACCTATCCCTCTGTCACAAGCATCAATCTCCAAGACGAAGGGCTTTGAAAAGTCAGGTGGGGCCATGACAGGGGTTATGGTCATAGCTTGTTTTAAACTCTTGAAAAGACTTTTCTACAGCTTCATTCTATTTGAATTGTCCCTTCTTCAACAGGTCTGTCAGTGGCTTAGCAATCTTTCCAGAGTTTCTCACAAGTGTCCTATAATACCAACTAAAGCCCGAAACCCCCCTCAAGGATTTCACACTGGTGGGAGTTGGCCACGGAGTCATGCTCTCAATTTCGGATGGATCTACAGCAAGACCCTCTCCAGAAATGATATGACCCCAGGAATCTATCTGTGGTTGCCCAAATTCATACTTTGACAGTTTAGCATAAAGTTTATGTTCCCTCAGAATAGTAAACACTGCCCTTAAGTGTTTCAAGTGCTCCTCCACACAACAATTCATTTTATATAAAAATTTCATCAAAAAAGACATTTACAATTCCTCAAACACTTACTGAAAACCTCATTCATTAGGGCCTGAAAAGTAGAGGGTGCATTATATTCAATTATATTATTAAGGCGGAAAGGCATTACAACAAATTCATAATGCCCCAAGTGAGTCTTGAAAGCTGTCTTTTAAATATTATTTTCAAACACCCTGATCTGGTGATAACAAGATCTCCGATTTATCTTGTAGAACAGAACAGCTTTGCCCCCACATAACTCATCCACCAATTCTTCAATAATAGGTATAAGGCTGATTATTAAAGAATCTTTAATAGTCAGGTTTTTATCCCTGTAGTCAACACAAAATCTCCATGTGCCATCCTTTTTCTTCATCAGTAGCACGCATGCTGTCCAAGGGATGAAAACCCAGTGACACTTCTCAAACATTCTCTCTGTATCCACTGCAAGTGGCTCCACACGGCCTGAACGTCGCACTGTGGTTTGCTTGCTCTCTGATAAGCCTACTTGGCAGTGGCTCAACCAGTGAGAGCTCTCAGTCTCAAAGTGAAGCAACTCGAGTTTCACCATAGGCCTATTCTTCTTTAATACGAGTCAACTACTGCTTTTGCTAGCCGGGAAAAGGGCATTACGAATATATGGCCAAAGGAAAGAAGAAGACACCCATCTAATACCATTCTTATCTCTCCTATCTTGATCTAACCTTTTAGAAGCCTGGGAAGACCCATAAAGAAAGAGATAACTCAAAGAGCAACTGCAACCTAACAGCGGATAATAGCAGCGGATATATCGGTTGCAGTTTTATCCGCTGTCGTGGGAATACCTGAGGCAAGTAGCTAAATGAATAGGGCAGCTAGTGAAGTGAAGAGGAAAGAGAGAAGTGTCAGAGTTCAAATAGAAGGTAATAGAGTGAAGGACGTGGCCCTTAGGAAAGGGCATGAGAAAAGGAAAGGAAGAGTTGTAAGGCTCTGTAAACACAATCAATAAAGAGTTCCGTTAGCGGTCTTCGATGAACATATTCGGTTTAGTGAGAATAGCTCTAGTTTGAGAGCTTAAGCTATGAGTTGAAAAGTTAAGTATGGGCGGGGTCAGTTAAAGCTTTAATGCCTCCTTTAGAAGGAGGGTGTCGGGGATGAAACAAACGATGATCCAGCAAATAAGTAGGGGGGTTCGAAATCGAGTTCCAAAGCGAGGTCGGTTGGTGGAGAAATGAATGAATTCCCCAAAAATCCTCATGTCAACCCCTGACTGACCGGAGGCCTAAAAGCTCAAAAACAGAGGAAGGGTACTCTGATCGACGACCTCTTCGATGATACATCTCTGTCGGTTGGTTTGTACTACAGAGAGGTATTCCGATCGACCGGGTTTTCTTTTTGAAATCATGTAAATAAGGGGATTTTCCACTGTTGTGTGATATCACATGGAGGAAGACAGCTGTGGCGCCCACCCGCGCTGGTCTGCGTCTGACTACTGTTCCCTAACTGACATTCCATTCTCTGGACTGAGTTTCCTCCGGTACCATTGATTTATCCGTACCATAATAGACGAGGTCTTCTGAGCTCTCTTTTTCTGTGAAGAAGGGTGGCTAATACAGAGAAGAAGATTCCGCATCTCCATCCGAATCGGAAGGAAGGGCAAATCAATTACGTCAGTCAAAGAAAGAAGCAAACTGACTGATGAACACCAACCGGTCTACCAGGAGAAAAGAGCTCACCTAACCTAGAGAATTCACTCCCTGGATGTAAGTCCAGTCAGTCAGTAGCGGTAGAATAGTCCGATTTCCTAGCGAAGGAAGCCCTCTCGGAAAGCCCCCTCCCAATGGCCCTAAGCGCTCAAACCAACCCTTGTGATGTCACTGAACGAAAGTCTTAGGGCAGTAATCAGGAACACAACAAACCCAAGAACCAAATCGGCTAGGCTAAGTTTGAAAGTGGCGACTTTCGATAAGCTTTCCCTTGGGTGTAAAAGAGCCTAGAATCCCTGTAGATAGAGATCTGCTTCCTTATATGGCCCGGCGTACAGCCCTACATTGCTCAACTCACAACAAGACCTCTAAAAAAAATGAAATCGAGGCGTCGAAGTGAGAGAGATTTGAGATTCCGTAAGTAACTCAGTGAGTGCTTTGTAAGGCTTGAAAGAAGAAAATGAAATACGAACAACCGCGCTGGTCGTAATAGATCGACTTTCATGCTAGTTCTTGCTCCAGCATGAAAGTTCCATTTCAGGGAAGGACCGGCGTTTTGATACCACCAGGAACAGGATTGGGAGAACATAGGATTGGTAGTTGGGCTCTGCTCGCTTGGTTGGTCATTCCCTTCTGTCTAGGTTGATGGATAGGTGAGCGCATGCAGTTACTTCCGAACGAACCGGTTGATGGCAAGCTTTAGCTTAGCTGGCTAGCGGAACAGAAGATGGGTTAATGGGCTCTTAAGGCTTGGGATTTGATCCACTCGATAGGGAACGAGCAGATGGCTCCTCTTCCGCGGTTCTTCGCCTCCACCCGCGAATGGTGAATTTCTTGCTGGTCTTACAAAAGGATTCTCGCAGTTTGTGAGAGAAAATCTTAGCGGTTCTCTTGAGAGCATCCCCTATGGTTGGTTGTCTTTTCTCTGCTGTAGAGAAGACCTTTGCGGAACTCTGTTCTCGAAAGAAAATTTTCTATCTAAAGAAAGGGGAAGCAGTCTCAATTTAGGCAATCGATAAAGGAGTTTTACTCGACCGAAGATAAAGAGGTTCTGAACTCGACTAAGCAAGTAGCTGGAAAGGAGTCACTTGACCGGTAGGAAAGGTGGGATACTATTAGAAAGGAGAAGTTCGAAGAAAGGAGAACAAGTCTTAAGGATCAGAGTGGAAGCTTTCCTAATAAGGAAAAGGGGTACTGTACTAATTGAGTAATCTCAAGTCAGTAAAGCCAGACAGGTAAGGGGTTAACCCAAGAGGGGGGACTGACTAAAGTAAAGCACCAAAGCTCATGGGATTCTATTCGGGTACATTTCCATTTAACCAAATAGGCTTTGGAAAGAATATGAGTGGTCTCCGTCCTCATCCACATCCACTTCTAACTAAGAAGTTGAGGGACAAGACCGAAGGTATAGTTTACCAGCCGAAGGTGGTTACGGTTTTGAACTAAACCAGCCTGACTCAGAAGTAGCCGGAGAAAGGCGGGAACTCGTTCTTAAGCAAAAGCAGGGGCTAACTCCACCGATGCGGTAACGTCGGCAATGGCAAAAGAGCATCCTTTTGCAGAGATCAAAATCCCAGCTAGCGGCCCTGTGCTTAAGGCAGCAGGTATAGGTATTATGGTAGCTTTCTTTCTAGCGGTAGGTTTAGTTCCGAACGCTTCTGGCTCCATTAATATACAGTTATAGGATGATTATGATTAGGCTAGGCACACTTTATAAGAATAGTTTAGTTTATACTCATAGTTCGTCTTTTCAGTTTCTTCCTTCCCCAACCATTATTTTAACTAGAGATTTTTGTACTGTAGAATGTTCGCTTGTGCAGCTATCCACTGATATTTACTTTATCTATAAAGATTTGACGGAAGATCTTCAATATAGTATGTCTCACGACCAATTAGCTGTTATTCAACAAAAAAGACTTTATGGTATATATGTTCTATCTCCGCTACAAGTTAAGTTCATAAAGAAGGCGAATATAACTCCGTTTTTACATGATACGCTACTTGATCATCCCGATA